GAGATATACATATATTTCCTATTCTATACATGTACTGTATATAAGACATATAACTGAGATGTTGAATTTCCCCCTGTGACATATTTCCTAATATATGTGATATTTATTATCTTTGACAATTTTTCTCTTCCCAAAAATATATGTCATTTCCCTTATGGATTAAATAAGACGATTGACAAATTTTACGTACTTTTTAATTGTCAATCAGCAAATCATGTGATTTAATAAATCCAAAAGCTAATGAGCAAAGATTAATTCGGAGGCTATTGTACGTGAAAATCTGAATTTAAACCAAAAAAGAATCTGAAGAACTTGACAATGATGTAAGTAATTTATTGTTTGAATTAAAAATATAAAATGAATATAATACTAACTTTTTGAATAACAATTAATTTCAACAAAATAAAATTTTAATTCTGTTTTATTTAATAAAATTTCATCAATAAGTACAAATTTATCTCTCACAAGTATTACCTAATGACTGAGAAACATGTCTATACACGAAATTAAAGACCGTGAAGATCATGAATAATAACCTTTGATAGAAAAACTAGTTTAATCTTTTATGAAGTTACATTTTTAGCGACATTATTTATTATCTGCTATCTACTATCAGCTATAATATACGCGGCGAAAGTGAGAAGCGTTAAATCATCAATAATCAAAATATTCTTTTCGGGCCAACTTATTTGTATCATAAAGAACACCTGACCGATTATACATGTAGTTGATCCGATCCAATCGATTGACACACTAATTGGATATTGATAAAAAAAATAGCATCGGATTGATCCAAACTGAATTCAAAACACAACTTGATAAGAATGTCATGCAAGCTAGATCGATCAAATAAAAAGCATTTCGCAATTGAAAATATTCCAATGACTAAAGTTATTGAGGTCGCATTCAACATAAAAAGAATGAATCTTCTGCTTTTAAACACGATCCCTTGTTAATTATAATTCTATTAACATTTAAACCATTTTTTTTATTATCAGGTTTACCAATAAAATACAAACACAATTTTAACCTAAAAAATACTACGTACTCATGAAAACAATGCAACAAGAAAAAAATTAGAAAGAAAAAAAATTATAAAACAGAACGAAAACCTACAGTAATGTGCAAAAATTACAGGAAAAAAGTATGTATATAAATGTAATTATGTATATGTGCAAAGGAAGGAAGGAGTTAAAAAGAATATGTATACATAGTGAGGGAAAAAGAGAATATGTATAAAGAAAACAATTAAATTACAATAATGCAAATTAATGATAATAGAAGATTATTTGCCAACACATTCCGACGACGAATAAAACTCGGACCGTCTAACGACTTTAAAAACTTCATACTCGTCCACCCAAAAGTAACGCTCTTCCGTCGACCGCAGAGCAACATTATAACTTGCCGAAGTACCACCGCAGCACCCAGTTTTATCCGGATCATTGAAATTATCTCGCATCGCCAATGCATATGGTGCGCCGAACGTTGGTCCATTGTCTGGTGCACAGACGATTGCGTGTTTCGGTGACTTGACACGAGATAGGATTGCGTGCCTAGGGTTATCATCTTTTTCGCGCATTGAGAACAAGAAACTTTCCGTGGTGGCTAAATCTACTAAATTGGATTCCCAGTGTAGAGGATTATATGCGCCAAGAATTTCGGTAGAATCACGTACTTTCATTAGCACGACCGTCGGTCCTTTGTTGTCACAGCGTTCATGAAATGCTTTCGCTGTGAATCCAGCCTGACTTCCTCGTAGAATTAATTGAAATTCGTATGGACATTCGGATACTTTATATGGGACGATAGGAGTGCTGCTATTAATGTTCGGCAGATTGACATCTGTCATTGTCTCGATATATGCTCCATCCCTTCGATCAATCCAACTAGAAATCAACGCCGCTTGTTTCTTGTCAATAATTTCGGATTCGATGGCGCCATGACGTGCTTCAAGCATTTTGGTGACTGGTTTGTATTTCGGATCGGAATGAAATTGGAATAGATCTGAATATAACGTAACTGGTAGAATACTTTTATACGGAGAGACTTTCATACGAAAATCCGCGGCTGATATATGAAAAAATCGGATATGTGGTATACATTTATGCAGAGTTTTTTCAATTCCTGGCAAGTCCGGACCAGAAGCACGACGCACACGTGCTTGTTGTGGTGTATTCGCGGTACCCCATTTTATCACGCGATCCCAAATTTCAGCTTCTTCCATGCCGAGATCGTCACGTTGCAGTAGACGAATCAAGGATTTTTCATCGATTAAAGTGAAGTCCGTGCAGTTGAAGTAGAGATCCGGCTCCCGCTCTTTGATTCGTTTACAGAAATTCCGTAGTTTTTTGAAACCGATATTTTGCTCGGCGATTTGACTTGTGGTGACTATGTGATCGCGTAACCAATCTGATTTTTCGTCGAGAAGGTAGGCTTGAATATGGTCGTATAAATCTTCGAGACGGAGTAGACCAGCCGCCGCCAAAAAATCAAGAACAACTCTCGTGTCAACTGTTTCAAATACGATGCTTCCACCATATATGTACCTATTAGAAAGACCAAAGATTAAATCTCCACTCACATCGTATTGAGCCAAAAAAAAAAAAGAATATGGGCTGTTTACCTTAGAATAAGTTCAAAAACTTCAGGCGAAAGATTGGGCAATTTGATCAGCCACTTATTCAACGTAACGTCAGCATTTCGTTTATTCAACACTTTTTGGAAATACGGAGATCTCGCGCGCAGAATGATGGAATGTGCACGAAAAGTTTTTCCTCTTAACCCAACTTTGATCGTGACATTGCACTCGTCTTGATTGTCGAGAAGTTTGGTAAAGTCTCTTGACATGCAAGTCAAAAAATCTGCTGACGGCATATTTTCTTTTTGTATTTATTTGGTTATTCAAATGTTCGCTTATCGTTATTTGCTTGTTCCTCTATCGACAACGTGAGTTTTACAAAAAAAAAAAGGAATGTTCAGTATATTGGAGTTTTCTTCTTTACTTCCCTTAAGAAAAATCGTTTCCCGTGTCGTAGTTTTATTAGAGAAAAAAAAGCCAAGTGGATGCAATAGTGTATTAAAATGTAAGTGCGGATGGGATGGTATTAAAGAATTAATGTGATGCGTTAGTGTAAGTGTGGAGTATGCACACTATCGTTATCGTCCATTTATTGCCAGCCTTCCAATCGTATTACCCGTGTGGTATTTTAATTTGAAAAATGTATGCGTATGTGTATATAAATATCTAATTTTTGTGTCTATAGTATAAATGACTAAATAAGGAGACAAGAAGGAGAATACGTGATGACGACGGCAATAGGGGCCAAAATGCGAACGGAATGAAAAGGAAAATGCGAGATAAAGGGAAAATGCAGAGTTTTTATTAATAACAACAATACATCGACATATATAAGTAATTATTGCAATTAAAAAAAAAAGATTCATCATTTCGTGCCATTAATTTCCCATACATGCACACTATTTTACACTGACACCTAACACAAAAATAAAAGTAACTTAAAATAACAAATAATAAATAAGCTTCACATTATTGACGTTAACCTCTGTATTGTATTCTGTGTATCTAAATATCCCTTACCTAGTTATCTGCTACAGCCTGTTCAACAGTTATAGTAAAACACGTATTATCCATCTCATCCTCTATTTTTGTCAAAGTGTATCGATATATGGTGTGTGTTTAATCTTCATTACATTTCATGCTTAAAACTACCTATTCCTATTTTTGTGTGCGTTCATGTTATACGTGTACATGCACATGTATATCGAACATGTAACTTACTTTTT